CTCGTGGCAGCAGAGCAAACGCTGTCCTTCAACACGCTCGTGTTTTGCCTCAGAGAAACGGGAAGAGGAAATTTAATATGCAAGCAGAAAAGAAAGCGAATTTCCTCCAGAAATCAGACCTTGCTGGCTCCTCAGCACATCCTCTTCAACATTGAAAGCAGCACTAAAACCTTTCAGGGTAAAATGTTAGAAAACCAGCATCCCTGCATAGACATTTCATGGGCAGGACTGCAGGATTTTTCCCAGTTCACAACAGCTTAAAAAACTCCGCCACAAAACCCTCTTCTCCCATTTAATAGGCTTAGTTCTGTTCCTTTATACAAAGCTTCTAGGTTTTATAGCATTTCACTAGGTCTCTTGTTGCAGCTTTTGAACCTCAGATTAAATTGGGATTCATTAATACATTTGCAAAAGGGAAAAAAGAGAGAATGAAGTACAGGTGTGCTGGGGACAGACCAGAAGAAGGACCTAGAGCACAAATAAACACCAAAATGACTTTTTTTTTTCTGGCTGGTATGACTAGTCTTCACGTAAAAGGAAATGTTAAATTCTGAGAGTTTGTGGGCAATAGGAGTATTTACAGTGGATTTCTGTATGCTGAAGTTACGCATTTTGGTAGCAACATATAATTTTGGAAGTTATGATACTCCCACCATAAGTCATCAGGCAAATTCCCTACTACCTATTAGGTAATGCAGATAATTGCCTTTCAATTTTTTGCTAAAGACTGTTTTAATTTTAAAATCAGCAGTCATTTATAACTAAGCAGGACTGCCCTGTCTTTCTTTTACAAGTAAAAGTTTTTGAGCCTTGAATACACGTTTTGGTTGTTGAGACAGCTTTGCTGACTTGGAGATGCGTTTGTTTCTGTTCATATGAACAATAGCAGTTTTCTGGGCATCTTTAGTCTGAAATAACTAAAGAGGGTTGGGTTTTTCTGAATGTCAGAGATTTCTTAACTGAAGAACAGCTACCTGAATATTAATTTTTGCTTTGGTGCTTTTTTCCCTTTAGGTTTTATGGCAGGCATACAGAGGAATCCTCAAATGTCACAGTATGGACCTCAGCAAACTGGACCTTCCATGTCACCACACCCCTCACCTGGAGGCCAGGTGCATCCTGGAATCAGTAGCTTTCAGCAGAGTAATTCAAGTGGTACTTATGGGCCTCAGATGAGCCAGTATGGACCACAAGGTAAAACACTTGCTGGTACTACATGTGATAATTTTTATATGTATATTTGTACTATATCTCTCCCTCTCTCATGTATGTAGGTGGGTATGTGATTTCTTAAAAACAAAAAAAAATAACCACCCCAAAAAACACTCACACACCACCCTCCCCCCCAAAAACTTAAACAAACAAAACTGTCATTCAGAGGTGGAGCTGCACCTTGCGGAAGAAGCTGCTTCTGTTATTAGCACCTTTCTCTGTATAAAAATAGTGACCTTAAATTGGGCAGGGAAATGATGAATCTGTTGTATTGCCAGGGCCATTGTTTAGGAGCCTGAGCATGTCATCTGCGTTTGACCAAGCATGGAATAAGGGTCACAACACCGATCCCAAAATAGGACTTTTCTTAGATGGAATCCCAAGGCCAATCTGAAATTGCGTGGTGACTGTGAGGGTTAAAGTCTTCTAATGAGCATAATAATACAGTGGCTACTGTGGGAATATAATATTGAGCTCTAATGCATACGGTTTGTGAATCTTAACTAACCCTTCAGACTGAGAGAGACAGTTCCTTTTATTTTGCTTGTTTGACAGAATTGTTGGAGGACTAAAACAAAAATAGAATACACAATTTCTGCCCCTGGACATTCAGTGCGTACAACCTTGAACTTGTCTATTGTTTTGCCTTTAATGGATAACCTTTATAAAGTATGCATCTGTTTAGGGGTTTAATGAACTTGAAGTCAAGCCACTGAATATATAAGGGGCAGTGTTTTCTTTAGAGGTATATAAAGAAGCTTTTCTATTTCAGCAATTCCTACCATTGCTTTCTTACTAATAATCCTCAAAAAGGATTGGAGCCAGTGATGGGAAATTCTGTGAGGGCTCGGTGGCTTGCCCATGCTAGCAAGGATGGCTATTTTAGTCTCCAGAGTTTCTGAGAACTAGTTCTGATGTTTGTTTGCAGGGAGCCTTGCTACCCTGCGCAATGTTCCTTTCTGTTTCATCTCTGGGTCGCGTTTGTTGTAGTGTTCTGAGCACAGGGCTACAAGCCAAGATTTCCCAGTTTCTAATTTTGGCTCTGCCTTTTATACCATCTTTCAACTTAGGCAAGTAGATTCATTTCTCTGCTTCTCTTTCCTTAACTGTAAAAAGGGGCTAGTAATGCCTTATAGCCATGTTGAAGATTAATTACCTAACTCCAGTTGACTGGTGCTTTCCTTTTATTTGGAAAGCATTTTGTGGCCATAAAATGCTGTCCAAGTGCTTATTTTTATCTGCACAGTGAGCAACTAGCTTAACTGGTAAAAATCCAGTGGATTTATGATGTGCTATCCTGACTTCCAGCTGTACTGCTGCTGCTGAGATTCCGAACCATGGGAATAGTGGGTGTCAAGTGCAGTAAAACATTAGCCATCCACACTGATTGAATGGAAGGGTTTTTGTACTAAATCAATGCATTTAAGTAACACGCCGAATACTACTTTCTTTTTTGCTTGAGTTCAGCAGTTCTTTTCCTCCCTCTGTAGATGAAAGTGCCTATGTAATGATTTTATGGGTCGCGGTCAGGAAGAAATGGCTATTAAAAAGTGAACTTGAGGGGCAGGAAGAAAATGAGCATCATTGTCATTAACAGGCCGTTTCAGAAGGTCTGGTGAATAGTGTGATGGATGAAAAGTGTGTTCTTCTGCCAGCTCTTGGAGAGTACCAGTGATCCTGTGCACTGGTCATCCTAAAATTAGGGCCCTGCAGACTTTCAGCTCTACAGGTAACAAATAGAGCAGAAGAATACTACGTTTTCACCAGGCTAATGTGACCATTAATAAAATCCGGGGATGAAGATGGTGGTATTTCAAAGTCATGTGTGTACCTGGATTTAAGGTTTTTGTAGCATTTTTCATTTTTAATGAAAGTAATCTGTAATTGCATCTCTTAACAAAGCACAATTATATGCCAGCAATGATAAATATATAATTATGTTACACCATTTGCCTTTTATTGCCACATAACGAATATATTAAAAATTACCTGGGTTGCAACCAAGGTCTTAGATTATTAAACTAAAATAATTCCCAAGGATTTTACTTGCTTTCCATGTTTTGTTCACATAGGCCTTCCTCCAGAATATTGTTAAGCACAGACTGAGTTCGACAAGACTACTTGTATTTTTATATATGTGTCAAAGTACTTTGTGACATTAAGCTTTTCATTTGAATGCCAGATTTCACTATGTGCTGTCCTGAAAACCATTGCTCAAGGCTAGTGTCCTTTCTCTGCAGTGGAATTGCTCACCATAGTAAAAACTACACCAGTAAGTTTGGGTTGGAGGAATTAGCCCCCAGTTTGTGAGAGCAGAATGATCCATTTCATGCACATGGTTGATTTATTTGGTTTTCATGTGTTTACATGACACTTAGATCTATAATAAGAGTAGAATATATTTTCCCAGGAAGTAATTCTGTACTGGGGACCTACTCCAATCCTGTGAAACCATTTCCTACAAAAATAAAAAATGGCTTTGGCTCCACACTTCTGTGTGTCTGTGATACAACACAGGAGCATGCAGTACAGAACATTAGTTTAAATTTTGCATTAAATCCCAGCATTTTCCTGCCCCCAAGAATAAAAAAAAGCAGAGTGAGAATGGAAGTTGTTACTGAAAGAAACAGGCTCTTTGGTTTGTATTTGGATGACATCTAGCTCAGGGGCTAATGAAGCTCTGGTCTATGACCCGAGCATCAAACTGCTGCCACAGCAAAATGTCCCTTAAATGCACTCTGGAGAGCAGTCGGATGCTGTAGTCAGTTGGTTCTTTTAAGACTGGGGCAGAGAAAAACTTCCTGTGCATCAGTAAAACGTGTCAGATATGCATCCTGTCTCCCTAACTTTTCCTACTCAATTCAGCAGTAAAACTGTTCTGTTTGGGTGTAACAAAGAGAGAAACCACTACTGAATACGTTTGAACCACAACCCCAGAACTTACACAGTAAGTTAAACCCCATTTTGTTCGTGGTACAATAATATTAATTGAGTATTTGTGCTTTGTAACCTTTAATGTTGGACTCATTTCACAAAAGCACTTTGCTACCTAGCTCCCACTTATTTTAATCCTAGATTTTAATTAAAGTGGTAGCATCTTAACGGTGAGATGCCCTAAGTATCTCTAGAGTCTGGACCTCAGAATCCAGACCCACATATGCAACAGCCTGTGGAGTTAAGACTTAAATATCAGCTGCATCTGCTGAAGTCCCCTAGGTAAAATAGTTTCAGAGGAATCCAGAACAATACATTTAAATTGTCTGTACAAGAAAAACTTGATGGTTAAGTGCACATGTAAACAATTTGAAAATGATTTTAAGGTACTATTTTTAATACTGTGAATCTGACCTATGTCTCTAAAGCAGAGAGCAAAACTAACAGGTAGTTCTCAAATTTCCCTCTTCTCAGCTTGCTTAGAAATGGCAAGGTATCAGAGCACTTTGTTCAGCAAACCTGGACAAAGTGGACCAGAGTTTCAGCAGTAAGTATGAACATCTGTCTTTGGCAGGTTCTTAGTAGGCTTTTTAATATTTTTTCTTCATTGCACCTTTTTTTTCTTCCTTCCTGATTCCAGTTATTGCTTTGTTTTTTCTCATTCATTTGAGATGTCGTCTCTCTGGGTACAATTCTACTCTGCCGAGGGGGAGTTGGAATCACAAATCCCTCGGATATGGAGGGGAGGAGTTGTTCAGTAGTATTGTACAGCTGCTGTTGCCAGGCTTGTACCCACTTGAAAAGTGTGGGCTCTTGGACTTGGCTGCCTGACACGTCCAGCTGATGTGGGCTGGCCTAGCATCTGCTGCATTCATTGTGTTTAATGCTGCATCCATCTGTTTTCTGTCAAAGCTACTGCCAACAAATTACTAATCTATTAGAGAAACATGGAAATAAGATTGCACTCCTCATTCCTGGCAATTCCTCTTGTATTTTGTTTGGCTTTTATTTTGCCCTTTTTTTGTGGTCTGGGAAAGGTATAAGAATAGCTAGTACTTGAGGTATTGAGGAAATGCTTAGGGGAAAAAAAAAAAAAAACCATGGAAAAAAGGTTGAAACTTGTTTTCCTTACTGAAAAGATACCACTTCCCTGCGCTCTTGGATGTGTATCCCTGGAGATGAATGATTAGGAGCTATTTTAACTGAGCCACATATTTTTATGGAGAAGATTCCACTGTTTTTTCTGTGTCGTGCTTACGCTGGAGAAGCCAAAACACGAAAGAAGAGATTTTTTGTCCCAATTCAAAATAGCATCAAGACAGCAATAGTATTTAGCATTGGTGTTTGCTCCTCCAAGCATGCTGCTTAACCGTACTTCGTAGACCCTAACTGACAAAACAAACTGGCTTTATGTAGATTGGACTGACAGTAGCTCCCAGTGATTATGGATATCAGGTCTGCTAGTCTAGGGAGGGAATTTGCTTCAATTTAGGAAGCCATGTTACTAATAGCATGTACATAAAATGTGTTAACTGGCTGTGCATAATCTTTGAGCGCACGTATACACCATCTTGCTGCATTACATTTTTTCTTGCACAAAGCAAGTGGAAAGCCAGAGCAACATCAGAGATGTGTGTTACACCTTTAACGCTAAGCAGAGCCGTATGAAACTAGTGAACCCTTCAGTTTGTGGTCACATATGTTGGATCAGAAGTGTGGCTTGAGCAGGTCTCAGCAACCAAAACTCTGGCTAGGGGCGATGGCTCACTGAACAGAAAATAGTCAGCTGCCAGCGGCCAAGCCTAGAGGAGGAGGAGAAGTGACAGGGCAGTCTGAAGTCAGCATAAAGCTGAATCTGGAGCCTTTCATCTCTGTTGAACCACATCGTTGGGATCCTTCCATGAAGACCCCCGGGCAGAAACTTGGTTTCTAAAACAGAAGAGAATTGTTGCTCCATTTCCTTGGGAAGCATAGGTCTCACGCATTCTTGCTGAGGAGAACTTGTAGCAGAGTGAGTCAGTTACCGGGTGGGGAGGATTAGCCAAAGCACAGCAGCAGGAGCGTATGAATTAATTATGTGTGCATTCAAATGATGGATGAGTATATTTATTTTAAATATAAACAGGAGTTGTATGCCACCAACTCCTCTGCCTGGTAGCTGAGGCCTGAGGAGAGACGTGGCTGATCTCCACGTTCAGAGGAAGAGTCCAAGGGCTGCTTTGAACAAGCGTGGGAATATCTGAGAGTAGTCAGGAAACTCTGCTCTGCGGCATCCCACAGGGAGGGAACGGGTCGTATTTCCACTAATCTGGATGAGATGGAAATAAAGACAAGTCAAAACTGATGACTGAAGTAGTGTAATGTGATCTGTTTCCTAAAATACTTTTCTATCATATCTTTACCTTTTTTTTCCTCTTTCTCATGCTGCTTGGGTTTGTTTCTGTAACACCGAATGCTGTACACTCGCTTTTTTCTTGAGCTCTCAACATGATCGGAAAATCAGCACTCAAATGAGTTAAGCTGCTGCAAACGTAGTAGTTTGCTCCAATGACAACGTAGATTGGGGTCAGCCAGTTTTTCATGCCATCCTTCGTAAGGCACCTGTTTATATTAGTATCTTTGTACTGTTGCTGATTACTCTTGGAATACGAGTTTTCCCAGAAGAGGTGCGCTGTAAGCTACCACCCCTTCTGCTGGCATAGCCAAACTTTGAAATTACCAGGAAGGCAGGGTAGGGCAGGAGGGAGCGGGAATGTTCCTCGGAGCCTGGCGGCCATCCTCACCAGTCCCTGCCAAAGCATCTCTGACACAAATGGGCAGAACGGTTAGAAGAAGCCGGTTGCAGAAAGCTGAAATTGCAGGGAGATGAAGAATGAGAACACGAAATTACAAAAATAAGATTCTCCCTTGAGCTTATGTAATGGGTTTCTTACATGCCACATACCTCTTTACTGCATAAGGTGGTTTTGTACTGTGTGCTATGTTGTTAACCCTCTGGAGGCTGTGCTTTTCTGTATTTGCTGTTATCCTATGACATATATTAGGCAGAAAATGTTTGAGGGTACATCACAATCAGGTTTATAGGACCGTTCAGGTTGGCAGGGTGCTCAGGAGTTGTTCTTGGCTGATCTGTATTCAAATTGGGGTCAGATGTAAGATCAGAGGAGGTTACTCGTGGCTTTATCCAACTGGGTCTTGAAAACCTCCAAGGAGGGAGTCTGCACAGCCTCCTTGGGCAGCTTGTTCCACTGCTTGTCTGTCCTCCTGGTGAAAAAGTTGTTCTGACTTTGAGGCCAGTGTGGTTCACTTTAGTTCACATGTGTAAGTTCTGCAGCTGCTAACTTCCTAGATAGTAATATTTGCTCAAAAGTTTAATGTTGTTCTCTGTGCTTTTTATCATTCTGTTCAGGAAACTACTCCAGACCACCGACGTACAGCGGCGTGCCCAACACAAGTTACAGCGGCCCAGGACCCGGCATGGGTATAAATGCCAACAGTCAGATGCATGGACAGGGGCCAAGCCAGCCTTGTGGTACCATGCCCCTGGGACGGATGCCATCAGCTGGGATGCAGAGCAGACCATTTCCTGGAAACATGAGCAGTATGACCCCCAATTCTCCTGGCATGTCTCAGCAGGGAGGCCCCGGGATGGGCCCACCCATGCCAACTGTGAATCGTAAGGCACAGGAGGCGGCTGCTGCAGTGATGCAGGCTGCTGCAAACTCTGCTCAGAGCAGGTATGCGTCCAGGTGAAAGGAGTTTAAACTAGTAGGAATGGTTTTCTTGTCATTTCTGAAGTAACGGCACCATATAGGTGTATGCATATGCATTTATACGTGTTCTGTCTCTGGGAGGAGATAGCATGTGGGAAGAATACTTTTCCTTAAACATAAGGGGAAAGCATGCTATCGTGTGTTTGAATTATCCTCTTGAAAAGCAGCTGTGACAGTGGAGATGATGGCCACTTCCAGTCTGGTTGTTGGTACTGCAGGCTTTAGGAAAACCCATAGCGTTGCAGTGACATTAGGAGTCAAAAACAAGCCCTCTGCAACTTAAAAATTATTAGCTAGATACATATTTTTTTATCTCCAGTAGAGAGAGGGCCAACATATCCTTGGCAGCTTGCCTCTGCCAGGGACTAAGGAAGCTTATGAAGCTGCCCATCAATTCTTGCATTTACTGCTCATGTTGTGAGCAGCAGCGCTGATGGCAGTTCTCTTCTACAGGATGTTCTTGTTCCTAGGTGAGGGAGAGGGAGAGGGAGAGGGAGAGGGAGAGGGAGAGGGAGAGGAGGGCAGGCTGAGGGGAGCAGCTGGAAGGGAAGGGCAGAAGAAGGCATAAAAGCAATCTGTAGCTATCTGGAGTTGATAACTGCCACCTATGCATCCATAAGGGAGAACCTGCAAACAGGATTGTAGAGGTTGGAGCCATCATCTGTCTTCTTGTCTCCCCTTCAGGCAGCATAATTGCATGTTGCCATTTGTGCATGGATTTTGGCAAAGGCACTTTTCTGTCCGTGGTTATTCTTAAGATGCCTGAATACTTGCAATGAAATCATATTTTCTGGGAAATTTTTCAGATGAAGTAATTTCCACATTTCCCTGGACTCAAATAGTTCCTGGTGTATTTATTATCTTTTCTGTTACAAGAAGTTCCATTACATTTGAGAATTACACAAAGCTGGTTGCACTGTTCTGGTAAGCATGTTTATGTGTGTATGTGTGTATTAAGCATCTTGCATTTATTTATGCATATGCATACACAGATGCACATATACGCATACAGGTGTTTATCATTCAAGACAGTGTTTCTGGACGCTAGAGTTGCTCTAATTCCAAGACGCAATGTAAAACTAGAAATAAGAAGCTAATGTGTCCCTGTATCTGTTGCTTTCTTGTTTTGCGAGTTTGGAAGGCAGGTGGCTTCTAGTGATAAGCAATAGCAAACTTTTAAAATAATAACAGTAAATTTAGCGTACTTCATGTTCTTGTTCAGTAAAATAGAACCGCACTCCCTTAAAACAGACCGTATTCCAGCAGATATCTGTGAGCCAGCAGTCTCTTGCTTGTGTTGTTTTAACAGACCTGTCTAGTAGGACGTACAAAAGTCTGCTTCTGTCCATCTGTTTTAGTCTATAAGCTGATAGGTCAGGCATGAAGGAATAAATGGGCCATCACTGCAGCTGCAGGAACGCTTTCTTTATAATCATGTAATGAAAGGAAAAGCTCACATTTGTTGGTCTTTACAGCAAGAAAAGACTGTGTTAAGTGGAAAGTATTTGATTGTGTTTCAACTTACAGTTTGGGCATAGTGTGTGGTGTTTGATCAAAAACTAGGTTAAATGATTACCACTCCTATCTCACACCTTCCTTTTGTAAAACTGCTTTTGGTTTCTAGCTTTGCCTGGACAAAACTGCACCATTTCAGAGCCTTTTCATCACATACTGCCCATTCCAGTGATGCAGCATCTTACGGAAGGGCTGTGCAGTCATCGAATCTCTATTGCAAATACTGGCAAAAGGGCTATTTATAAACTGCAGATTGAGCGAAACCTGCCACACCCCTCTGATGCCAGGGGGTTGCAAGCACACTGTTTTCCTCTTTGATCTCAAGTCAACTGTAGACTTGAGGGAGAAAGCATAATGGCTTTTGGCTATTCCTGCAAGTCCTTCATACTTTCATATGGAAGGAATGTACTTGACAGTGATTCTATTTGTGATACAGAGCAAATCCAAAGAGGCTGTTCTTCTGTTCTGCGTTAGGCCACCATACATTAGGTCGCCTGCTTATCCCAGCCAGTCTGGGGCTGGTGGATGCCCCATGTTTTCTTCACAGTACCCCAACTATGGCAAAGCTCAGGCTCCCTTGATGTACCAGCCTGACCAGTACGGGTAGGTAGCAATGTAAACTGGACTTGCCGTGGGACCTTGGCAATTTTTTTTAATGTTTATGAACATTATGAACATCTGGCTGCTGAAGGAATATAAAAATCAAATGAAAGATACACAAATAATTGCATTGTAGAGGAATTTTAGTTTTTTGTTTTCTTTTTACTAACGCCATTGTGACAGTATGATGAAAATCTGCATGTCACTTGCTCACATACCTGCATGGCTTTTGGCATGGCTCTGTTTCCTTGTGCCTGAGAGGGAAATGAAGAACCTCATCACTGAGAAGGAATGAGGTCCCTCCTATCCCCGGCCCAGGCATCATCTTTCTCCCCTCATTGTTGGTGTTCTTGTCTCACAGTGGTGCTGTGCAACCCGTTTTCTTGACTTGGTGGTGGCATTATCATTGCTGCCTGGGCAGTGAGCTGCAACCCCAAAAGTATGATCCCTTTCTGAGAGGTGGTGTACTGCAGGAGTGATGACAGGGTTTCTTAATGTTCTTAATGGGATTTTCAAGAAAGTTCTACTACACTGTAATTGAGCGTGCATGTGTATGAAAAATTTCAGTTAGTCGCTAGAACAATTTTTAGGAGCACTAAGTATCCAGTGCAAAACATTCAGCTGAAACACAGCTACTGTTTTCTCACCAGAGTCCTTCACACTGTGATTTCTGTAACCATATCATAAATTACAGCACTGGGAGAAAGTATCTACACTGGCTCCCAGCCTGTTGCTCCCTCACAACCAAGTCCAACTTCACCTGAGATTCAAGTTTCATGGACTTCCCTGCCATCATGTTAGTTCAGTTTTTACCTCCATAGGAAATCTATAATACCCAAATTACTGCTGCCTTCGTGGTTATTAACAAGTTTTAGTTACTGGTTTTCTGTAGCTGCTTTTGGTTGTTTTTTTCCTTAATAAAGTCATTCATATATGTGCATATAAAAAAGTACAAGGCAAAACAAAAAATTAGAACACAAGTCTACCGGTCACCTGTTCAAAAAGCAAAAATGAGTGAAATGGGAGAGCACTCACACCATACTTTTTTGTCTAACTGGAAAGACATCCACTGTCATATGCCAAAGTGCATGAATAGTGTCCAGCCTTTTTCTTTGAATGTCTTGAGTTTAGAAGATTCAGCTGTGGGGTTCAAAAACTGTTGGATTTTTGTTGCTATAAAACACACCCCTCTCTGTAGAATTAAGAAGAAAATGAAATGGTTGTGTCAGAGTCATGGTTACACAGCAGTATTTCTGTACAAGTTGGTTGTGATCCCCTTCAAGGTCAACTTGTTGAATCAGTAGCCAAGTATCAATAGGGGAGAGAAATTTATCTTCAGCTGTTAATCCACAGGATCTGTCCTTTACCAGCTCAGGAGTCTCATTTAGACATAGAAAGCTGGTTTGCCTCTGCCTTGCCAAGCCACACTAAGCAGCTGTGTAAAATGAATTTAAATGGCATGCATCAGAATAAAATCACTTCCACTGGGGCAGAAAATCAATGTTCGTTAACGAGAGCTGGATGATCAAGATCTGAGTGTCAGCCAGTGATACCTAGGTATCATCCTCAGCGCAGACCACCACCCTTTTAATTAGAGAAGATAAAATCATATAAATAAAAGTGGTGGCTGTGGAAGATACTAGGTTTACACCATTTGAATTAGCCTTTGACCTCACCTTGAGGCCTGCTCTATGTTAAGCTTAGATGAATTTCTAAAGCTACCTAATACCTTCCCTGTAACCTAAAATTTTATGATGTGCTAGCCTGTCTTGTGCATGCAAGCCAGTGTTTCCCAAATGATATCTACCATGTCAGGCTAAAGAAAAGAAAGGTGCTTTTAAGACTTCTTCATTGAACTGGCAGTATCTGTGGTTTCACGCTACCCAGGATGCTTAAGCTTGGTCTGGGTAACATTTTACAGCAGGCAATGCTAAATAACTCTCTAATACCCTGTATAGTAATTCCCCTTGTTTTCAAGAAGGCAGTGTGAAGGAACTGCAAAACAGTGTTTTCCTTTTTATATCTATCTGGGTCTCAGCACACCATTGACTGGTAAGGCCTCTATGTGGAAGAGCTAATTTATCCACTGAACTCCAAGGAAAGACTTTTCATAACTTAGGTTGGCATTGGCCGAGACCCCAAGGGCTGGTTCTGCTGCTGGAGGTTAGAACCCAGCGGAGGCCTCTGAGGACCAGGTGGCTCCAAAAAAGTGTCTTTTATCATACTGTAGTTCTTAGAACAATACGTGTGTTTATAGTGATAGATAAGTATTTATTTGTGTACAGACCTGCAATACAGTAAGCCTTCAGTAAAAGCAAACAATTTTAAGCAAATACCATTTTCCCTGTTGATGTGAAAGGCAGCAAATTCAGCCAGTGTCTTCTAGTACCAGCCAATTTTGAGTTCCTCAGTTTGTAGATGGCCAACTTGAAACTTTTCAGGGCTATGTGTTCACTGTCTGTGAGCTTTTGTTTCCTACAGTAAGTGCCCAGTACGCACTTTTGAAAATTGATTATTAGGTTGACACTAAAGTCAACAGATGTTTTTGGAGCTAGATGCTTGTCATCATAATTTTCAGCATCTGTTGTTCTAGCAGTGAGTGTCATTCTGAGCATGTCATCTTAGCAGTTGAAAGTGTGACTGTAGTACATGGAAAGGTAAAAATGTAGTTGCAAAATAGCTGGCTTACATACTGTTAGCAGTGCATCCTTAGGAAGACGTAATTCAGTACTAGCTGGCTATAAAATACACATCCAACTGGATGCTAAAATGAGCCTCTTGCTGGTGCAACTGCAGTTATCAATACCTGAACTAATTACTATAAAATGAGTTTTGATGTGCCTACCTGA